CGCTGGGGCGGGAGCCACAGGGCCACCAAGCGGAGAGCGACCGGTAGCGGGCTGGGTTGATGCCGCAGAGCTGTCGGCGGCATTACGCGGCTGCAGCAGCTCCTCTGATGAATGCTCAAAGGGCAAACTGGAGGAGAGGTTCTCCCTCACCAGCTATACGGAAAGTGGCTTCAGGACGCCAGTGTGCAGGATCTGCTTCCAGGGACCAGAACATGTAAGTCAAGGAAAAATGTTCATTTAAATGTTAAAATACGATATATATGTAAGTTAAGTAAGTATGCCTCAAACCCATTAATAAGTTACTGTCCCATTGTTTTCTGTTAAGGTTAAAACATTAGTGATATCTGTTTGCCCACGCAAAAACATTTAACTAAGGACCAGATAAGAGTGATGTTGCACATTGAGATCCCTGCTGGTGCAAGCGTTTATTTTACATGAGGATTCAGGAGTCTGGTGTCTTTCCCAGTGAGGACTGGGAAGCTCCCAGTGTATTCTTAATGCAGCTATAAAGCTGGAGAATCCTCTGAGCAAGGATCCCACTGCATCCTGCACTTTTCTCTTTGCATGGCTTCAAATCACAATGATAGCTCGTAGCTAGTGGGAGACTAATGAAAGACCCAGTCCCCATGTTTAGTGTAGAGGATACACAGTAATTCTGTAACAACTTATTATAGTAAAACTCTCTGAATTCATATGAAAAAATAAATAATACCGTTCACTGTGCTGCTCACATGCACCACCTGGAAACAGCAAAAAGTAATAATAATGTGCAGTGAGCAGAAAGGAAGAGCCTTCAAGTTTATTACGCTGCATGCTTCTGCCTAAGGGGCCATATTGATGATAATGTCACACTATATCAATCAGGTGGGGAAAAATGTGAAAGAAGATGGCTAAGGTGTGCTGCACTAAATAATATTAAATTATAACAGAGAAGCAGGCACTTTGTAATTTGCAGACACATTAGTTACACTGTCTGACAAAGCCTTTGAGGCCACATTGACAAATATGTCACACTTCACCAATTGTAATGGAGGTAGAGAAATGTGAAGCAAGATAACTGAGCTGTAGAACATAACTTTATATCCAGCAGCTCAGTTGCTTTTCCTTTACCCAAGCAGCATATTTACTCTATCACTGTATGGTCACTGCACTGTGTATGGCCTCTAATCTCTCTATGTATCATCAACTAATTACTCCAACAGCAATTTTGTGCATCATTCCACCTCTGAGCTCAGACTTTGTAATTATTACTGACATGGGGTCTGGTTAGTTATGAGATTGGAAGACGAGGCCTCATCTTTGTTTTTTTAAGAAGTCCACAGATAGTCAGCATACGCTGCCATGCATATAAAGTACCGCCTTCAAAATTTGCAGTATTTCCCATGGTCTGCTCCAATCCATCTCATCAATGCTTCCTGGAGACATTGCAGCTAGTCAATAGCACTTGATTTCATGCCGCCCTATAATTATGCAAGTTCTTTTCTATTACCGGCCTTCTTTTTCTTGTCTTCTCTGCTGCTGGTTTGGGTTAAGTCCAGATATGGATTTGCTGAGGTGTAAATGGATACAAGGAGAATAAGGCTCGATTTGAGAAGAAAGATGAGTAGACAGTCTGTGTGTCACTGTGTGATACAGGCAGTGAGGACATTGGCTATCCTCTGACTGTTCTCCCTTAGCCTCCAGGATGTCACATAGACCAAGACAGCCAGTATCTGATTTGACAGTTCACCTCCAAAACACTTCCATCCCCAATGCTGAGATACTTACAATACAGAGTAAAGAAGAGAACGAGAGATATAGAGCATTAAATATCCCACTAGAACAGGGCCTTGAGTGTCTGACAAAGACAACAATTTGAAAAATGACTGTACTCTGATTTAATCTGACACTGAACAATGTATTAAGTCTGTGCAGTCGAAATTCACATCAGTGTTTTGGTTCCATTTTTTTTTTTTGTGACTCATAACCAAAATCCTGTTGCTTTTAAGGGATAGGTTCACATTTTTCTTTCCAGATGTCTCAATATCATAGTTATATTCTCAGGTGTATGTTTAAAACGTTATTGGTCACTGTGAACATTCTTCTTCTCCTTACTTACTATGACGCGGTCTGTAAACCATATCAAGTGAATATCTTCCAAAGTGAGTCTTCTGTTTCTCATATTATCCCTTCTT